CCTTAGTATATACAGCTTTTATGTTAAATGTGACCTTAGCAAATCCCACCTTAATTAAAATTTCTCAAGGTGTGAAAATGAAAATTGGAGCATGTTAAATCAGATATTCTAAGGAAAAAAAGTATTCTGCAAATTAAAATTAACTTTTAAGGCAGAAATGCTGTTGAGCCCCCTTCCAAATAGAGTGTAAAGATACTTCTATTTATTTCCTCCTCATTTAGTCAGTCTGTGGTGTCATTGACTAAATTCATTACCAGTAATAATGCTACCAGGTGCTGTAGCTCCTATGTTGGGTTAAGCTTTACATTTTGTGTTGTAGCAATTGAAACAGAAAAATGTATGTACTTAGTTTGAGCTTTTTAACAAAGATAATCACATGAATTATTTAGAACCTCTTTAGAGAGCCCTAAATCCATCATTTGTTTTTTAAGCTGGAGAAACACTTACCTGTTCATTTGTTTAAAAATAGCTTTATTGAGATATAATTTACATACTATAGTTCACCCATTCCCTGTTAATTTTAAAAACTATTTCCTAAGGTTCTTTTCGATGTGTTTTTCAGATATTTACTACCTCCTTTTCCAATCAATGGAAAGAAATAAATGGATTGAGGTATATAAGAGAAGGGTATTCCAGGTACAGGGAACAGGTAAAATAAGGCCTTGAGGTGGAAATACTCGGTAAGATGAAGGAATGGGAAGAATATTGGTCTGGGTATGAGGAAAAAACAAGTGGGAAGTAAGGTAGGTGTCTTAGTGATGAATTATAAAGTAGATGGAAGGAAGAGTGGGCTTCTGTCTTTCTTCACATCCATTAATGGGGCCTTATTCTAAGGGATCAGGAAGAGAAGACAAGAAATAGCAAACAGTTCCATAGAATCAAACCTTCCTTACTGATGTTCAGGGTACCATAGCCCTCTAGTGTTTTCCTCATTAGCACATTGGTATTAGAGTATTTTCCCCTGATTCTCATTTTCAGCCTAACTCTGTTATTATCAACTACCCTCTCCACCATTCTAGCCCCGTTTCACACCCC